AAGAAAGGGAGTTAACTTCTCATTGACTAGAGTATAATAATGAGTGAGTTGATTAGTAAAATGTTTGTAACTAAGAATCCTCGATGCAGCATTAAGTTTGGCACTACAAATGGTTGTGATCGTTGCATGAAAATATGAGCTTTTAACAACATTGAATAGTATAGTATTCAAGAAGATGAACTTTGATATTGCATTATCTAAATTCATGTTTTTTGCTTCATCAAACATTTCTCTAATGTTGTCATTTTGCATTCAACTAACAAATGATCTTTCATGGCTTATGTAAGCACTCATAGGCTGAAATTGACTACCACTCTATGTACTAGCTCCAGAAGTAGATGCCTTATCAAAATGCTGATTTTGTGGATTTGCTGTAGAAGGTAAAGCCAAAGAAGCATTTGCAAATTGCTCTATAAACATTTAACGAAATTATTCTTGAACATGAAAAGGAATGTTTGAAACATTACATGTTTCAATGTCATGCCCAAAAACTTTAATAAGATGCACCTTAATTCGTTTTAGTGGACCATTATATATTTTTTCACAATAATTACACTTCTAAACGCCTATCTCCTTTGCTAGAAGCATAAACAAAGAGCTTAATAATATAGGATCATGCTCAATCAAACACCATTGATTCAACTGTGCTAAAATCAATAATTAAATATTACAATCCAATCACTAAAATCATTTGAAGGTGCAAATTAGGGTTTTTTGGGAAAAAAATAAGTTGCTAACCTAAAATGAATAAATGAAAACGAGAAAAAAAAAGAACTACACTCCTGGGGTGTCATTCAATAAAATGCTGTAAAACGTTCAATCCCTACACGAAAGACAGTTTGTTTCCTCTGGAAGGGACAGCATACGCACCTTTGCTGGAATGACGTTAACCTCCTTTGACATTTCTGCAAGCGAGCGTGGTCTCTCGCCCCATCTTCTCCACACCATCCAAATGCTGGAATACTTGAGGTGCTCGTTGCCGAGCTGCCTTTTTGCTTGTTGATCTTCCTTAGCCCGCTACTTCGCCTCTAGTTTTCGTTCCCTGTAAAGAATCGTCAGGAAGAAACGAGAAAGAAAGAAGAAAACGCATAGGCAGAACTAACAGGAAGAACAAGAAGGAAAGGTTTAGAAGCTGACCTTACGTCTCTTAGCTCTCTGCCACTTGACGACATGTTGAACGATATCTTTGCGCATTGGAACGTCGAAAATGTCTTCAGCGATCGGCAGAGTCCGTTTGTCCTCTTGCTCCCAATTCGTGGCCGGCAGCACCATATCTCTCATCTCTCCTGGAAAGAAAGAAGAAATCACAGCACAAGGATCCATGGCAATGTGTCTGCCTCGCCTGAATTCATTTGCAGCAATGCTGGCCGACGGGGAGGTGGAGGAGCGCAACACCGTCTGGAGAATGCCTAATCAAGATGACACTGATCCAACGGATATTTCATTCAAAGAATCTATCTTACAATGTCATAGACTTTATAATAATAATAAAAACTCTCTTTTCTTGTGAATCACAACAAGAAGATGTCCTCGTATACCTCCTCCCAAAAGCCAGTTGCTTTGATCCTCCGTTGCCGGATCTTGGGAATTTCTAGGTGCTGCTCCTCCCCAGTGCGCCAGCCTCTTCTCCTCCTCGGGATCCAGCCCGAGAGCGCCTGACGAGCGAGGGGCGGTAAACAACCGCCTTCCTGTAATGCACCATCTCACCGACACTGTACTGCCCCACCGTCTCCCTCTTGCCACGGATGTAAAACCACTCGCCGCGATCCAGGTCGTACACCGCGGGTGGCAAAGGCTCGCCACCGCAATCACCAAGCTTGTGGCCGTCATCGTAGCGATCGGGACACTGTCCAGCAAGGCACAGGAGATTGCCTTCGGCCTGGCACTCTAACGCCACAAAATCGTCCCAGTAGACGTCCGTAAGGTCCAAGAAGGAACTTGCAACCTCATGGCAGTGGCCACTGCTCCAGGCTTTCTCAACGTCCAAAACGCAAGAAGCCTCTCTCTTACCCGCCATATCCATCGGCTCCTCCATTCTCCACACTCTGCACTGCCCTCGTTGATCCGAATGGCACAAGCCACATATGTGCTCCCATACGAAAGGGACACAAACCAGGGTCGGGTCGTTTAGGAGGGGCTCCTTGTGTGGCACGATGATGCATCTAGCAGTGTCGAACAAGAATCCTTCAGGGTACTCCGCAACCCGTGTCCAAGCCCGCGAGCTTGAGTCGTAGTTGAAGGCGTCTACAACCTTGAACTCTCAGGTGGCTAGGTCCGTGGTCATGCTGTAGACGCGACCGGAATGCACCTGAGACGCAAGGCGTGGGATCGACCCACTCGTTGGTTGCGGGATTTCCCACCACCAACTCCACCCCGGGAGAGGCATCGTCGGCCCAGGACGGGAGCCTGACGAGGACGAGGCCATTGGAGGAGGTGACGATGTCAAAGGAGCCGGGTGGGAGAGGTATCTTCATCCATGGTGGCTGTACGCGATTTTGGTCCATACACAGATTTGCTGTGGTCGAGGGATACGATCCCAGTTGCCGTTATAGGCAGTGAGGAGGACATAATCCTCGCCGCGCTGCTGCCTCCGCGCTGCGCTAAACTCGGGGGATTGAGTATGTATTCTCTGCACTCTGAATCTAAGATCTCCATTCCTTGCAGACGCCAATCCCAGGTATGCTATTCTTGCTAACCTAAAAGTGAATATATATCAGACTATATAGCCTAATTTATTAAATTCTGCTAAATTTTACAAACTATTAGCTTATATTTTTGAGAAAGCGGGACCAACTTTCATGCAATCCAATAAAATGCAAATGTGGCGCATTCAAAGTTCAAATAGAGGTTATGGAATGCCATAGAGAATTTATAGAAAAAAAGAGAAAAGAAAGCAATGAGACCAAAGACATGTAATCATGCCCCTCTGATTTTTTTTTTGTTTCGATTGAAATCTCGTCTCAAGGATTTCCTAGCAGACGCTCAACAGCTGCATGTACATTGCCATTGGTTGCCGACAAGGCGCGGATGTTTTCTTGCGTGTCATAGAAACCCATGTCTTGAAGTTGCGATAGCTGCGTCGCATACAGTTCCTCCGGGGGTAGAGCGTTCACTGCCAACACAAAAGAAAAACACGATGTACAGCACTGGAAAAACAATAAAATCAAAGTACAAACCTTCGGGAGTCGCACCAAAATTGCTTCCAAGGCCGCCAAACATTCCTAGCAACGAGTTTAAATCGACATTGCCAGCGGCTCCTCCCAAGCCTCCTTGCCCCAAGCCTTGGTCCCTAAGAGAGAAGGAAAACGGTGTAAGTAAACCATAGAGAGTTTTCAAGAGTGACAACTTACTGCCCTGGCTGCTGTCGACCCAGGTGGCCTAGCAAACTCTGCTGGAGCGCAAGCATTTGCTGTGACCACAGCGTAAACGAGAAGAAAGTTAACGATAGAAAAGGAGAAAAAGGAAAGAAAAACCTGTAAGCTCTCCGGACTGGTCATCTGCTGGAGAAACTCTGGGTTTTGCATCATTTCTCTGAACTGGGGGTTGGCATTCAGTATGTTCCGGAGCTGCGGATGCATGTTAAGGACCTGCAAGGATCACGAAAGCCATGACTGCATTTCAATCATCAATCCGCAAACACACAGACCTGCTGAACGTACTGGGGGTTGGAAAGAACTGACTGCATTGCCTGTAGCATTCCCGGGTTTTGCAACATCTGCTCGATCCCTCCCAGTCCTCCAAGCCCACCCAGCGCGCCCAGGCCTCCAGCGTTACCATCACCCATGCCTCCGAGAAATCCCAAAGGCGGAAGCGTACTGAGTTGTTGTCCTGGGGTGGTGGTCGTCTCTCTCGCTGTACAAGACCAAAGGAAGTCAATGGAAAGCTCGAAAGAGAAGGAACCAAGTACCCGCGGGATTCCAAGGATTTGGAAGAGGAGCGGTGTTGGGAAGCACGGTAGCTCCCGTCCCAGCCGCTGGTGTTTGGTTCGGATCGCCAGTCCCGGCCGCTGGCGCCGTGGTAGCCGCTGGAGCTCTTCCCATCAAAGCGGCAAAAGGATTGGCCTGAGCGTCGGCTCCCTCGGCCCCGGTGCCACCCATGGTGGCGGCATTGAGCAGCGGCTCCTGGACGGTCTCATACATCCTCCGCAGCATGTTGAATCCCTCGGGCGAAGCCTCGATGTTGCTCATGGCCCGGTCGGTGTTTCTCATCATCTCCCTCATGAGCTCCGGGTTCCTGGCGGCGTCGAGCGTCTGGCGGAGCGTGGCGGGATCGTTGAGGATGTGCGCCAGGTCGGGGTTGCGGTCGATGATCTCGCGCATCTGCGGGTTGTTCATGATGAGCGTCCGCATCAGCTCCGGGTTGCTCATCAGGCTCTGGATGGCGGGCATGTTCATCATCTCGCGCATGAGGTTCGGGTTTTGCATCAGCTGCTGCTGGACCTGCTGGAACTCGGGCAGCGTCGTGGCGGTGCCCAGCGGCGCCGCGGCCCCGCCGAAGAATCCACCGTGCATGTTGGCCCCAATCCCGCCGGGAGGAGCTGCTGCCGGGGGAGCCGCTGCTGGGGATGGCGACGCTGGCGATGGAGCGGCCGGGGCGCTGCCGGGAGGCGGGGCGCCGCGGACGAGGTGGACTGTGTGATCGTTTTGTAGATCTGGAAGAATTTCGCGAGGGGAGAAGGGAGGAGTAAATACCCTAGCCAGAGAATCCCAGAGAGGAAAATTTCTTGCGGCTTACCGTAGCTGTCGAGGGAATTCTCATCCTTGAGCACGCGTCCCTTGTAGATTAGGCGCTGCTGATCGGCCGGGACCTCGGAGCGCTCGACGAGGAGGGATTTCAATCCGCGGACTGTGCTCTTGAGATCCACCGTGACCGAGAACTTGGTGCCGTTGGAGCAGCGAATGTGAACCGTGGCCGCCGCGCTGGGAGCTGCCGTCGTCGAGGCCTCCTCCGCGCTCATTGCCCTATCGACGATCTAAAAACCCTAAATTGGCGAGAAAAAAGGAAAAGTCTACAAGGATTGGAAAAACTTTTTAGGGCGTGGATTACGGGCAGTGGATATCCGCCGTCGATTGGGCATCATTCCATAGATCACCCATGTAGAAGTGGAGGATCTTTTCTACGATCCACTCGTAGTCCGTCTCGTCGCCGATGGATTTGAGTCCTTGTCTCACGATCTCGTCCGTGACCCACCCATTTTTCCTGTCAATCTTGAGCAGGAATTCCAGGACTTTGGGATGGTGCGAGTAATCTGGATGCCTAGAGCACGGAAAAACGATCAAAACCTTTCCTTGCATTGTCTAAGACAGAGGGAACTTACCCACAGAAAGTGAGAAAGTGGTGAGGTTTGTACTGTTGGTTCCACGAGAGCGATCGTTCGATCGATCCAGATGAGTGTTAGAACCAAGGAAAGCACTCTTAGTTTGCTTACCAATGCCTGGTACTGAGTTATATTGTTGGAAGCAAGCACCCAGAAGTCCGGAGGAAGCGAAAGGATCGCATCGTTGTGATGGTAGTGAAGCTTGAACGATTCCTTGCTTGTTTCGAATAGCTGCCTGGCCAAATCGGTGAGCTTGGCTTCTTTCACGGACACCTCCGACCCCTGCCAAGCTGAGTCTATTTACTCAGTCCTCCGAGAGCCAAAAAGGAGAATAAAAAACGAAGAAAGAGTCTACCTTTGGATTCGGAGCCACGGATCCTCCAAAAGCAGCAGCAATCGCTTGATGCCCAAAGCTGATGCCGCAGGTCTTTACCTTGTTCTTGTCCAGCCATAAAATTTCCTGTTCCAAAGAAAGAAAGAAAAAGAAGGATTGGCTCTTTCATCGACGTGAAAGCAAGCTTGGAAACCTGAAGAAGCCGTCTGATCCATGGCTTTGGCTCGTACACGCCGCTGAGAGAGCCCGAGATGAGAACCCCATCGAAATTTTGGACTCGATCAGGATATTGGCGCTCCGTGACATCGAAGCCTGCATGGATCTGATTAGAGAACACGAATTTCGCCGGCATTTGTTCCTGCTCAACTGGTAAGCGTGATCGATGAATGCGGGATCAAGCGCGCCGCAACGTGATCGAATGCCGCCTGGAGGAGCGCGAGATAGGATCGGCACGATTCCGAAGCTGTGCTGGGCAGATGCTGCGCCAGATGCTCGCATTCGTAGAGCGCAATCCGGACTGCTCGGCGTCGCGACCACATCTAATACCCTAAATAAAACAAAAAACCCTAAAAACAGGGGATTTGGCTATGGCCTATGTTTCTTGTGCCAATGCCGCCAATGCTGATGCTGATGCTTTGCCATGAGCTCCAGCAGCTAAAGGAATCCTTTGAGCTCGCGTATATGGTTATCTGCTAATACTCTCATTAGACTGGTGTGATAGAGTTCTTCTCCTTCTCCAAAAGACATGCTCTTAGCTGCTGCTGTTTCCATTATCTGAGCCAATTCTTCCACATATCTAAGCCTCTTTAGGAAACAGAAGAAGGCATGTCATTTATTTCAGTCCAAGTACCTGAATGTAGATCATACGAGAGACTACTTACCCATGGCCAGCTTGACCACGGAAGTAGACACAAATATCGAGTCTATGAGTAATGTGATCACCTCACCAGACTCCACAGTAATTTCCTCAATTCTGAACTTACACTTCCGTTCCACATTGAACCACACCATGTAGAGCTTTCCCCTCCAATTACTAACAAGGCAGACCGACTCACCCTTCTTGACATTCAGACAGAGATTTGTATATGCAACAGAGTCACTTTGCAACATCAAACTGGACAGCATGGGTACAGGAGGAAGCCGAACACTTCCTATGACCATGGGCCATGTTTCACAGCACACCGTTATAGTTTCTTATTAAACTCATAGCATCGTGGTAGTTTTAATTTATATGTCTTATGCATTTGATGAAATCTATGTCATTAAATTTTGACAAGTTTTCTAGCATGAAGGAATAAAAAAATTAAAAAGACCATATCACATATTATTGTGATAATTTTCCTCAAGTCAATACTTTTTACACTATCTCTTATTAAACCACAAATAATAAACTTTTTGTGCGGTTTGATTTAGGTATCTAGAATATGCTTGAATATTCTAGGATATTCTATTATCTAACAAACAACTTTATTATTAAAAATACTAAATATATCATTAAGCAAGCCAAAAATTGAATAAATTATTAAACTTAGACCTTTTTTTTATATATTTTAGATTATTATTTTCATTTGAAAAACGTATTAGGTAAATCATAAAATCACAACATAATGATATAATTGATATTTCTTGCATTGCCTCACCTTTAAAATATATTCGAAACTATAATTAAATAAAGGCTTGCTACTAGGGTGTGTGAAAATTCCAGCAACTTCATTTGATTTTAGTACATTATATATTTTTGTGTTTTCACTTTTCATAAATGTCATTTTTGGTTTATCTCTCATTTCATGCAATAAATTATTATATATATATATATAGACCCACACACACACATGCGTGCACACATTTTTTATTACAATAATTATTTTGTGACTTTCTTGGACGATAGTATCTATTAAGTGGTACACTTGACCATAAATTTTAAAATAATATGGTCTATTATGTATTATTTCAATATTCACCACATAATGCCAATGCCAATGCATTCTTATAATTTTTTTCTTTAGCTTCTTTAAATTCTCTTGATATAACGTTCCATTTAGCAATTTATAAATCAAAATAAACTATTTAAAGTCGTGTGTTATTGCTACACATCCACCATAACAGCATTGAGATTAGATTTTGTTAAATATATTTTGCAATAAGTATAATGTTTTTGTGTAAAACTAATGTGGTCTCTTAAGTATTTTATCTTTATCCCTTCAATGTTTTCTTTAACATCCAAAGTTAAAGACTTAATAGAGTTTATATATGTGTTTTGTATTTATTAAATATGTGAAGTATTACAAGTAATATTTAATTTTCATGTCACAGATTTTTCATTTTTTTCACCAATTGAAATGTAATAGATTTTCTACTACATAATTATATTGTTAAGATCAAAATAAATATAGGCAATACATTATCAACTCACAAGCAGTAGATAACACAAATAAATAAAAAAAAATATTAACCAACCAATAATAAAATAAATACCACACTGTATAAGATTTTAATTTTTTTTTCAATTATTTAAATACATTTTTCATTCTATTAAAGCACTAGCCTAACAAAAAATAGGTAGAAATAAAAAAAAATTGCCTTACATGAATTATTTATCAAATCTTTTATGTCTTCTTAGTTCTTTTACAAATAAAAAATCTAAAATTTCCTTGTGCTTCTAGGATAGTAATATTTTAAAAGAATTTTGTTTTCAAGCTTGTAAGGTGCTAAAGATTTTTTTCATAGATATACTTTAAAAATACCACTTTATTCTCTAAAAACATCAATTGATAAATATGTTTTATTATATGTTCTTTATTTATTTGTAGACTTTTTTCTTTGAAAATAATTTCAAGTAAAATTTACTTTATGAAAACTAAACAATTTTTTTGGTTAGTGTGGTTTATTATCAAATGCAAATCCTACAATTAATTCTTTTATTTAATGTAAATGTTTTTAATTATATTTTGATATTTAGCATAGCCTTATATATTGATCTTGTACACCAAAATAATCCCTAACTATGCCATAACTTTTAGATGCATTTTAACATATATTTAAATATCTAAAAACTTGATCCAGCTTTTATAACACTCCCGGATTAAATGATTGAGTTTAATCATTTTTTCTTAGTTGAAATATATATATTTTATATATTTGTATTTGTGTATATGAAACTTTTAATTTATTTTAGCTAAAGAAGTTTTGAATTAATTTACCCCAAAGTTTTAAAAATTCTCATTTGAATCTATGTACTAACACATCTTTTATGTGCATGTGTATGAAGATTTAGATCTCGATAAAAAACTATAGTGATCATTTTTACATCTCAATAAACAATATATATATATATATATATATATATATATATATATATATATATATATATATATATATATATATATATATTCTAAACAAACAAATAAAAATAAATTATTATTCTTAGGCAAGTATGATTTACATACAATATTGTTAAATTAAATTAAGATGTAGTAAAGAGATTTTTAAACAAAAATTCATATGAATGAAAAACTTTCTTTTAACAACCCTTGTTTTGGCTATTAATAAATATTTATAATATAAACTACTTTATTATAAAGGTTTTTTTAAACAACATCAAAATGGCATAACTATAGAAATTTTAGATATTGTGTTTTTAAATGTAATTGCTTATCCTAGTTTAGCATATTTTTTATCCCATAACAATATAACATTTTTTTAGGGATAATATTGTTCCAAACTTTGAAAAATATTACACTTTGAATTATTGAGAAGCCATCCCCGAGCTAGAAAATAAAAAAAATTAATTAACAATTTTAAATATTCATTTATAAAACTTACTAAATATTGAAGTTTTTTTGTTTGGGCCTCAAAATGATGTTATGCTTATAAATTAATGAAACATTGATCAAAATTAGAAAAATTTAGTTTTTGATAAAAAATTAAAATTTTGCAACTAGTTTTATTCTAAAAATAAATGTAAATATAAAAAAATTGTATAAAAAGTTATTAGGTAGTTTTTAAGTCATTTCAAATACATTTATATACATATCTTAAATGGTGGCAAATAATTATGGAATATAAACTTTAAGTGATCGGATTGTTCAAGTTTAAAGTTTATCGAAGTTATAACGTATTCTTTCCGAAAGATTTTATTCATGTTACTTACAAAAGAAACTAATATAATAATCTACATATGAGTTCATCCATAAAATTTTAATTTTTGTATTTGTTGTAAGCTCAGAAAATTTTTATCATTTGATATAAACAAACAATTTAATTTATATGCAGTGAGTGAGTTTAATTAAGAAAAAATTGATTCTTTTGCTTGCTCATAGTTGGCATATGCGTGCATCATAATGAAGAGCCAATAGTTATATATACTAATTAATTATTTTTTTACACTTGTAAAGTTTTATATAATGATGTTTTTCATTTTAGTTCATTTTAGTAAGTTTAACCAAGATATTTATGAAAATTATATTCCAAAATAATTAATAAAAATGATTGTGTATTTACTTGCATAACAATCATAACTGATCAACATTATGGTTCAATTGTCATATTGTGAATAGAAAAATAACTTTCAATATCAATAATAACTAATTTATTATATTAATAAATAAAATAATCTATTTATAAAAATATAGTACATAAAGTAATAAAAAATTGTCTTTTAGTAGGGATGAATGTTAGCTTATAAGTACTTTATTCCCAATATAATAGCCAATTTATAATGAGTGGATTATGCTAGTTGTTTTTTAAGTGATTTATAGCCTTTTTTTTAATCATGAGACTTTATTAAATTTACTTTAAATTTCTCTTTATTTTTATTTCCAGTTTTACTCTACTTTTTAAAAATTCTTTAACATCTTTAAACTTTTCTATATTTTAGTATTAGGAAAAAAAATTGTGTATGAGAAAACAATTTTCGCATATATCTTTTGAACTTCATAGCTCTTAATTAACATTAAAGAGAGTTATAAGCATTGGGAAATACTAAATAAAAATTTGCATGTATGCCTTTATATTCCCAAAACTAGTATGCTATTTTTTATAAAAAAACAAGAGTATTTAAAATTTGAAAAGTAAACAATTTCTAACAGAGGTGTGATATCTTTGAGTAATTTATGCAGCAATTTGCTTTGGTTTTTATATACCTTTTACTGATGATGGGCAAAGTGTATTATTGAAATCATGAAAAACTAGCTGCTAATGGATTTGGAAGAGGAATTAAAAGTTTAGAAAGGCCTTAAATACTACCATTCATGCGTTGCTTTCAAGCTACATGGCTATATCAAGCGTAATAGCAAGGAATTATCCTTGAACATCAACGTAAATCCAAGTTTATCTTTCTAAGCTACCACATGTTCACCAACAATGGTGATACAGCATGTAGTCATTGGACAAACATGTCCCTTTCCCCTCAAAGGAAGTCCCGGCACTTGTCCAAGGTTTTCCAGGCATGCATAGGAACAGTGGAAGCTGACTCTCATTCATGGCTCTTCTTGTTGTGAGAAGTTGGTGGAGACCTTGGAGGAACAGCCACCTTGATATGGAGTTTAGGATAGTCACAATGTGAGAGGATTACTGCTTTTGTGTCAAGCTTCCAGACTGAAACAAGCAGATTAGCCATTGATAAAAAATTCAAGACCATAGATACATAATTTTTCAAGAAGATAGTTGCTTACGACAAATTTCACACTTTGGGATTAGGATAACATGATGAATGCAAACACAGATGAGGAGCATGGCCAATTTACCTTGAAAGAGAGGGCAGCCTTATTTGATGGGATATGTGTTTGTTACTTATAAGAAGATCTTTACATGTCAAGGACCTTAAGGACATATTACTTTATTCCTCAGAAGAGATTACTTCCATGGAGAGCTGTTTAATGTTGCAAAAGCACATGTTCGAGATGAGTATAATGTGCTGGCAAGAGTGGGACGAAGAACTCATTGCCCCTAGCTGCACTTAACTTTGAAGCTACTGAGTTCCACTACTGCTGATTATAATTCTAACCCTACTTTTTAGGAAATATTTCACAGTCATTAACCCTGATTAGCAAGTTGAGATCATCCTAGAGTATATGGCAAATCTCAATTATTAATTGCTAAGTCCCATCCATCAAAGCTTAGAGTATGGCAAACATATTGAAGCATATGTTGAGAAGATCAAGATGGTAAGGTAGAAACTATTTTCTTGTTGTTTTTCTAGGAAAACTATGCAAATATGTGAGATAAGCTCAAACCTTCTACCTCAAATGCCAATTTTGAGGATCTCGCTGAAACTCTAGTTCCTTGAGAAGAGACAAGTGAGTTTTTATTAAAATTGACTTTCTCAATTTAATTTAATTTGATATTATTATTACATGTTTTAACACACATGGTATTCAGCCTTGATTACAAACGAATTAAAGAGAAGTTTAACAGCAGAAAATTGAAACCATTGATATCCTAGAATATACTATATTCCTTACACTTACTTATAGCAAACTGAAAAGGACATGTGGAGCAATGGTCACAAGCAGAGAAAAGCTTTGCAACCGGCAAAACTCCAAGTCCCAGTTGTGTGGAAGATGGAGGCTTCTGATCTAGATACAACCTTAAAAAAAAAAAAAAGTCGATCGAACATTTCTCATTCTTTCTATGGATGAATGCCACGAGCAAGTAGAGTTGCTCCATAAGTACATGGCGAGAGTAGAAAACTAGAGTAGAAAAAAAGAGTATGCAATAGCAGAACATTCTATAATGGAAGGATTAGGGCTCTAGACCCGAAGTAGGGTTCTTTTCCCAAATTACGATCGATCGATGAGGAGCGATGTGTGGAGCGCACTGGGCCCGTCGCTGGCCGGCGCTGTGTTTGGCGCGGGATGGTGGTTCTGGGTGGACGCCATCGTTTGCAGCAATGTCACGGTGCCCTTTGTACAGTATTTGCCAGGTCCGCAGCTAGCTCTGGCTCTTTCTGTGGTGCTCGAATTTGTCCTTCTCTTCCTCTGGCAGGGATCTGCGCGTCGCTCGCTGCGCTCATGTTCAATTGCGTGAGACGAGAGGAGCTTCAGGATTACTCTCCCTACGATGATGAGAGCTGCAGGTACTTTGCGTGATTTCTATCTCTTTAGCTTTGTTTTGTGCGATTTCTATCGATCTCTCGAGCTTGAGTTGGACGTCTAGATATGAAGGTAACCAATTGCTATGTTTTGGCAGATCGAGGGCATGGCTGTTCATCGCCTACGTTGTTTCGTTTGTGTCATTGGCTGGATCCGTTGGAATTCTCATCCAGGATTCTTTGCTTCCGACTGGTCCTAGCGCGTGGACGGGCGTGGCTGGAGTGTTGCAATGCTTCTTGGTACTCGTGAGGTAATCAAACACGATTTTTCATCTCGTGCCTTAAGTTTTTGGAAAACTTTCTTCTCGATTGCAGTGGTCTCATATTCTGGACTTCAAGATCGCCCTCTGATTACTACTGAGACAATGTGATTCTAAAGTGTAAACTAAATGTGAAAAGCGTTTTTACCAGATACATCCAGGGGATAGCGAGGGTCAAGACTGAATCTGAAGGTCGAGAGTGTTCGATCCACGCTCATCACACCATGGTGATGTTTCATTTTTGATACCAAAATTTACCACATGGGTAACTATACATCAATTTAAACTTAACACATTGGAAAATCATATGGGGTTGCTACGATTGCGACACCTTATATAACATTTTATTTGAGGTTCTCTTTCACTGTCCGATTGAAAACCACTTTTGTCGTGACAAGCAGATGAGAGGAAGCAACGCCAGACGAGGCCGAGAAAGCAGCTACACCAGAACAAAGTTGTGACAACGCCAGTTGACAAGTCAAGGAAGTAAACGCACCTAGTGTGGAGGAAGAACCAAGACCAACCGAGGTGGAGAATCCAACAGCAGCAGAAGATATTCCAGCCAAGGAAGAAGACGCAACGGCCGCTGACCCTGAGGAGGCAAAAGTTGATCCTGTGGAAACCACTCGATCCTGTGGAAGCGGCCACAGATCTTGCCACTTCCTTTGCTGAAGGAGGCAAAGTTGTCACGGCGCTTGTAGTTTGGATTTGGCCACGTCTTCCCGCTGCCGTATTTGCTAAACGAAGAGCCGCCAAGCCACACGAGAAGCTCTCGTCCGACGGCTTGTACTTGGCCAGCCGTCTTCGTCACGGCAAAGCGAGGCCCCCGATCCGCTGGAGACTCGGTCGGCGTGGAAGAGGTGGCGGCAGTGACAGTGCTCATATGCCGGCGTAGTACCCCCGAGTGAACTTGAAGCAGTACTCCCTGTAGCTCGTGGTTACGGAAGAGTTGAAGTGCCCCCAAACTGCTTGTTCCATCCAGTTCCAGCGGTAGTGTTAGAGCGGGAGCAGCGGGAGTAGCGGGAGTAGTGGTGTTTGTGACAGCAATCACAGCATTGGCAGCGCTGCTCCACGAAGAACCACCACTCGACGTACTTTGGTTCCACTCGTTGGTTGTTCCATCCAACCAGCGCTCTGCGGTTTCCAAATCTGCTGCGAGCCAGCACCGCTTCTCCAGCGATTGCGGCTGCTGGCCGTTGCCTCCGGCGGCATTTTGGTTGTTCCACTGAGAATCCCGCCTGATCCAGCATCGCTATATCCCGGCCCTGCCCGAGCTGAGTGGAAGATCAACGCAGACCTGCATTGCTGCTGCTGCTGCTGCTTCTTGGATGCTTGATACCGCATCCTTGTCCAGCGCCGCCGCTGCCGCGCGAATCCCCGCCTGCTTAGTACAAATATCTCTGCAAGAATATTCGAGAATAAGCCCATAAGCCTAACAAATATACTTTTTTTCTAAAGGCATATTCTGGAATAAACCCGTTGACTCTTAGACTGTAAATACTCAAATATTTAAAAGAAAACAAACAGCATGGAAAAACAAAAGAGCATCCGACCAGATTCAATGGGACTCTTTGCAGTGATGGCATCCACGGCAAAGACCTGTGTCAACTTCGAAGCGCCCCGTCGTTTCGGAGCATAAAGGACTGGATGTAATACAGATCTATGCACACACCATCGGCAGGGAAGCAAGCAGGAGTAGGCTCGTCATCCATAACCATGTCTTTGGCCAGCTTCAACTAGAACACTAGAATCCCCACTCTGTCACACGCACCATCGCTAAGCCCCACGCCCCGCAGCGATCCCCCTCACTCCGCAACCAGGCGTCGAGCAATATCAACGCTGCTGCTCTCCAGGTCTGCGGTCCCAAAGCTCACTGCGTCCCTCAATACAATTCTCACACCACCACCACTGCTGCTGCTAGCACCACTAGTGCTCTTCACTCTCTCGAATGAGAGTGCCAGGAGCTGTCCCCACGTACTCTTTGAAGCCCAGGTAGAATCGGATCCCTCGACCGAAGCTGCCATCGGCCGAGGCGGCGAGGAACTGAGCACTCCCTGCGGCCAGTCATGCCCGACCACCGTCCTTCCCATCTTCACGTCCGCTGGGCGATGCATGAGATCCAACATGTAGAAGAAGCCGCTCGCGTTCATCCTCACTGGAAAGGCGTGCGTGCTAGGGTGTGTTCCAGCTGATTGAAAGCATCGCACCCAACGTCCACGCCCATGGCCTCGACGCACATCATCTTGGAGTTGTCAAGCACCAGGTACTCCTGCTTGAGTCCCGAGTTATAACCACTGTCATCCCTTGGGAGACACGTTCCTGAAAAGGACGAGGTTCTTTTCGTTGTGCTCAGGCTTGCCTTCGAGCTTACAGCCGATAGTACAGCCTTCTCTATTTTTGGCTCTTTTTACTAGGTAATTCTGTTTAACCAATCATGTGGATATGTCAATTTTTTATTGTGCTATGGATTTTAAAAAACAAAATCTTTTATTTTACACATCAAGCTTGTATGGAAAAGCGACTGGCTTGCTACTGCTCCCACTACTATGGATTTGGCGGTGGAGGTTGCGTACGAGAGACGTTCGGTCTACCTTCCAGGTGCAGCAGAGGATAGCGTCCCTGCTTCCTGGATCCGACTCGGTGAGATCCGACGCAAAATTTGCCCTGTATGATTGGTGGTTGTTTAGTGATATCAACCAATGGATACAAAATTCTTTACCTGAGCTAGTAACCGATGCGGGGCCCGAGGCTTTGCATGACGCATTGTCGCCACCTCGTCTCAGAAGAGAACCTGGAACGCCAAAGTCCAGCCAGACTCGTCGAGAAATTTTCCAATTGTGGGCATCCTGTCGAAACGAAGCATATACATTGTCATCTGATAAACATGCGTCCAAGTTTCAGCTTTCTGTACTCACCACACCACTCGGAAGCCTGACAGTAGTAAAGGAACGTCAATCATACAGGGTTTTGCCTCGGATCTCACCGAGTCGGATCCAGGACGCTATCCTCCACCTGGAAGGTAGACGAACGTAGTTGCAAGACATAACAAGTATATCAATAAACTTTGATAGTGGAATTATAGTAATCAAAACTGTAATCAAAGGCAAGCATAAACCTCATCCTTTTTCAGTGTCTAGACACTAAAATTCCCTATGTTTATTGTCTTTTAGATATATTGTTACTCTTTTAGAGGTCTAGAGTTTTTCTAACATATCTAAGTAAGTGGATTCAAGCAAAAAAGAAGGTGCTATAGATCTTTCACCAGCGGAATCAGATATTCTCGATTATGTCCAGTTCAATGAGAGGAAATTTGTTCTTTTCAGCGTTTTGATCTTTATTCTTAAATCTTAAATGTGAGATATTATCTATAAAATTAGCTTATGAATGTGGGAGAAGAAAGCTCCTTCCGAGCTCGAGGTGAAAGAACTGTGCTTTTGCAAGCGATGGCAAGTGCTAGTCTTTCTTTTCCGCAAGGAGCAGGGACCTCCACCCAATGCATACGACGATGCCGCCGTGGATTTGGAGGAGAAGCAGCCAAGCGCCAGCCCGTCTACAAGCGATCGGATCGATCGGCGAGGCTCCTGGAGGCTCTGGTGCGGGGAGATCGATGCAATCCATCACGAGATGGCTGTGGCGACCATCCAAGAAGGGCCTGTGGATAACGAGAGCGAGACGTGGAATTGCCAGGCTTGGATTGAGGAGGCGCTCAACACTCTCGCTAAAGGAGGTTTCTTCCGGCTGGTTCCAGGCGCTTTGGACGAGCTCAAGGCACGAAAGTGACCGAATATTCCAGCCATTTGAACGAGAATTCCGTTAGTAAATATTCCTGAACACCTTTTCTGTTAACCTTAAAAGGATGTGTGTCACCGTTGACAGGTTAATTAGGGCTTCGGACATGAGCTATCCGGCGCCATTCGTTCGCGACGCTACCGCCGAGCACAGGCACACGATCATCCTTCTCCACGGGCGTGGAAGCAGTGGCACCGAGCTCGCCGAGGAGCTGGAGGAGACGCTGGGCTCGGGCAGCGCCAATCTCTTCCAGCGCTTCCCGGGCGTGCGCTGGGTGTTCCCGAGCGCGCGCCCCCGCTGGTCGAGCGTCTTCGAGGAGGAGATGAGCGAGTGGTTTGACGCACCATCGCTGTGCGATATAGGGTATAAGCAGCACCTCCAGGTCGAGGGCCTGCGCCAGTCGGTCGACTTCCTGCTGCGCGTGATCGAGGAGGAGATCGATCGCGTTGGGAGCGCGAGCAAGGTGGTGCTGGGCGGGATCAGCCAGGGGCAAGCAACGGCCTTGCACGCGCTAGTCTGTGGGCGACACAGGCTGGGAGCGTTTGTGGGCGCCAGTGGATGGCTTCCCTTCGCTGATAAGATTGAAGAGGTTCTGGCCGATCATGATCAAGGGGAGGACGCGGACTCGAGGCCGATCGCAGTCAAGCGCGTGTCCGAGTTCTTGCGAGGCGAGCTCGGTCTAGAGGTTGAGGATTTGGGCGATTCGTTTACGAGTTTGCTGGCCACGCCGGTGTTCTTGGGCCACGGCACGGATGATAACCTGATCGAGTTGGATCTGGGAAAGCAGGCCCGTGATCTGCTGACCAGGATGGGGATGAGCGTCTCGTGGAAGGAGTACGAGGGCGCGGATCAAGACGGCCACTGGATCAAAGAGCCGGAAGAAGTTGATGACATCGTAGCGTTCTTGAGTGACGCGCTCGAGGACATTGTCAAACAAGGTTGAATCTTAGTCAATTGAAAATTCATTAACTACCAACATAATGAAGTAATTATAAGCGGGGATAGCTCACTGAAGATCTGAAGGCCGCGTGTTCGATCCACGCTCACCGCATTCCTATTGTTCTACTAACCTTATTCTGGAAATTATATTTGGAGAATCAACGTTGTGCATTGTATTGAGAAATAATGTACATACAAATCATAGCACCCAAACCCATCCCACTATAGAGCCAAGGGAGAGTCCGGCCACGAGGAACACAACCAGTAAGATCCCAGTCGTCTCGGACTCCTCCACGGGCACGAGCTTTGGTGCCTTGATCATGATCGCGCTCGTGTAGTATCCATTTGTGATCCCCAGCAGCGCTGACACCAAGAACACCGGAACCTCGGTGCCAAGTATCCTGGGCCCATGGAGGCAGACGAAAAACACTGGGAAGAAGATCAGCCTCGCGATGCAACCACCAATGATGGCTTTCGGGTCTTCGATGAGGTAGACCGCCGTGATCGACTTCCCGAGGAGGTCGCAAACGTTGTAGCAAGCGATGATGAGAACCGGGAACCAGTCGCCCAGAGCCGCCGAGTGGACGTCCTCGGTGAGGGAGCCGGGAAAGATTGAGAGTGTGATGAGGTAGACGAGAGCGAGAGACAGCAGCAGTCCTTTGTTCTGGCTCCAAACCCGATGGAAGCTCACTCGTCGATGAGGCGTGGAATCGGGTAGGAGAAGTGAGTCCGAGACTTCCTCTTGCCGTGCTACTTTAGTGGAGTTCTTCTTGAGGTGGTAGCGGATGACGGGAAGAGTGGTGACGAGGTTGTAGGAGACGAGGCAGATCACCATGAAGATGACGCTGGTGATGAAGTAGACGTTGGCACTGCTGCGAAGGCCGTCGGGTGTGGAAGGCAATGCGGCCTTGGTCACAACTCGCAGGCACGAAACTAGAACACCTGTTTGAAAAAAGGATAACTTGTGAGAGTGTGAAGCAAGTTGCAAAGAAGAAATCGTAAAACACAGTCACACAAGGAAAATGAATAGAACTAGACGCAAATCTCAAACAGTAGAGTGACAACGATCTAGCGAACACTATGGCAGACTTACCCGACGCAGCAGTGCCGGCAACGAGCGCTTGCATGTAGCGCTCCGGTAGCTCCCCCGCCGATCCCACAAGGCTGCCCTGGACGAGCGCATCGGCGAGCCCCGTGACTCCAGTAGCAGCGATTGTGATGTAATGCGTGGCGCTGGACGGCTTGCTCACGCTCTCGTCCATGATTGGAACGATGAGCATCATGAGGAGGAAAAGGACGAGGCCCAGATTGATCCGGATCCGCGGCTCGATGGCGCCGGCCTTGAATGTGAGGTAGAGCAGCAGCAGGAGGGCCGGGAACATGTAGAAGATCGAGAATACCCGGTCGATGTGCGTGCCAGGGTAAAGGAAATCGAAATAATCCACCGCTGTGATGAAGGCGTTCCACGGCAGGAGGAATCCGGCGCCAAGGATGAAGAAGCTGATGTAGGCAAGCTTGAAGTGATCGCGCGGCTCCTTCTCATCCTGGAAATCCAGCTTCTCCTCGTCGCTCTCCATCGCGTCAGACGAATTCTTGGAAGAACCCTAAAATCTGGGATCTAGGGCTTTGAAAAAATTATATTTTGGCCATGAAGAGGAGGGCCCCAACGGCGTCGTGCGGCGCCAGGCGCGCAATCACTCCGGGTAAGAAATTCGTGGCCGCTGCAAATGACGCGCAGCCAAATCCCGTCACGCCGCCCCTCCAGCAATCGACATCGCCCGAAATGCCGCTGCCAGAGACTGGATCCAAGCGGAGGAGGATGAAATTGGGGGCTGCGAGCAGGGATTCTACCGCTTCGTCTAGCCGATCGATTTCTTCCAGCGAAGTGGTTTACGGGAGCCCCGTGATGGGCCTGGCAGTGGGGCGTTTCAGAGATCGGCGCAAGACCAGGCCAACGGCCACTCTCACCACGATCGATGGGAACGATTGTTTGACTTTGAGGCCTGCCATGGCGTCCGTTCGCTGGCTGAGCTCGTCCACCCTGGACAGGAGCTCCTCCAGGGATGGCAGTGGCGACAAGGAGAATGAGACTAGCTTTGAGTTTCCATTGGCCGGAGGTGAGGGAGGAGGATCGATCGAGCAAGCTGACAAACTTTCTCCAGAAACTCTGGAGGAGACAAACGTTTTTCCCGGGACTCTGGAGGAGAATCTCTCGAGAAACAGCTCGACAAAGTCCTGGAAAACTCCACTATTAACTCTTCCAGGAACTCTGGAGGAGAATCTCTCGAGAAACAGCTTGACAAAGTCCTGGAAGAAGCCACTTTTAACTTCTCCAGAAGAGAATCTCTAGAGAAACAGCTTGACTTTTAACTGAAAAGGAAGCGTTGGCGATTTCTGGAAGATGGATTTATTTGCAAAGAACCTGGATGACGAGAGTTCTCTATACGTAAACTCTGGACAAAATGTACAAGCTGCTGGGCTGAGCGTCGGAGTCGACTACTCTGATCAAGAAACAAAAGAAACACGAAGAGATTTTAGAGCTCTGACAAGGTAGAGAACAAAACAACTTACCTTGTGTAAGTGCATTATTTGGAAAAATCCTTTGCTTACTCCTGCTGGACTTGGAGCACCACTTTGCCCTGTGAATCCTTGTTTTCTCTCACCGTTTGAGCTTTCGCGGCTTCATCCAAACTGAAAGTTTCTCCGACTGGGATCTTGAGGCGTCCTTCTTTCGCAAGCCGAGCTATTTGTTCTAGGCCTTCGGCATCCGTCCTCATGATTATCCAAGAGTAGTCTGCGCAGGCTCGAATGTTAAAACGTATGCTGAGGAGAGATCAAGCTTTACCAATGCCATGCGACTGAGTGTACTGCATTCGCTTCCGCAAGAGCGTCGCTGTCGCAATGCCGCCTCCAACAATGAGGCCGTATTTATCTGCCAGTTTCACTGCTTCTCCCTGCGACGAGTGCTTCGTTTGAGCACGAGGAGGCTATAATCTAAAAAGAGATTCACCTGCAGCGTCATGTAGTGACCACCACGCTTCAGCACGTTAACTCCAAGTGCTTCTGTGGTCTCCACACCGATTGTGTCGAGCACAGCATCGAATCGCCAGGTAAGTTGCTCTCTTGTGTTCTGGAAGCGTAGACGTTATTCGAAAGCTTTGTAGTAAAGGTGAGTTATACCTCGGAAGTGTAGTCCACGATAAGCTCGGCGCCAGCTTCCCCGACGCGACTACAACTTCGCTTGCCACAAGTGGCAGCCACCGAGCAGCCAGCAGCTCGAGCGAGCTGAATGGCTGCTAAGCCCACCGCGCCTCCCCCGCCCATGATCAGCACCTTCTGCCTGCACCCCAAAGTCTAAGATTGCAACTGCAACAGCCATATCACAACGAAATGATAAAACCTCTGCTCTCTCATTCATGCTACACGCAGAACGTTTACCCGCTCTTCATTCTGGCAGTGCTCCACAGTGCTCGCCACGCAGTCAGTGCAGCAAAGGGAATGGCAGCTGCTTCCTGGCACATAGACACAGCAGCGTTTAGTCAACAAAGCAAACAAGTGCAAAGTCAACAAAGCAAGGGGAAAAACAACGCTAACACGAAGAAACAGCTAGAAAACGGAACACCGAAGCATGGAACCAAACTTCGCGAAGAAACAGCAAGAAACCAGCAAAAGAAAAAAAAAAAAAAAACATCACATACCACATGAGTGAGTGACTTTGGCTTGAGGGCAAGCTGTTCCTCTTGGAGTATCGCGTAGTCACTGTAAGTACCTCGCACAGCAGTCGGGTGAAGCGCTCCAAAGACATGCTGGCCTACGTGGAGCCGCTTCACTCCATTGCCGATGGCCACAATCTCTCCACTCACATCTCTTCCCAGAACGATTGGAAGAAGAGGCTGGAAAAGAGACCTCCCGTATCCTTCTCTCATCTGTGACAAACAAACAGTAATTAGATGTGATAGAATTTCACAAATTTCTGGTGGAGATTGCTACGCGCTCGATCGTTTCTTACCTTGATATCCAGAGGATTCACGCCGGCGGCGACCGTGCGGACAAGCACTTCCTCGGCCTCCAAATGCGGCACGGGCACATCCTTGCGCAGCTCCAAGACCTCGGGGCCGCCGAATCGCGGCAGCACGACCGCCCGGCATGTCGAGATGCTCCTGCTGTGGCCACGGCAGTAGGGCGAAGCGAGCCAGCGCCTCATGAATCGATCGCGAGGAAGAAATTTAGGGTTTATGGCACTGAGCAAACAGAGCTAAAAACCCCGTGTCGGGTTTAGGGTTGAGGAGAAGAAAGCGGAGAGAGCGAGATAGGGGGGAAAAAAGAGAGAGCGCGCCGACGATGATGGCGATGGCGATGGCGATGGCGATTGGCAATGGCAGCAGCGGCATCGGCCAGGTTTTGCAGACAAGCGCTCCCCAGCTTGTGTGATAATGCTGCCAATGGTTTCAGATGGGAGCGTGTGGGCGGCGCTGCCCTCCTCCTCTTCCTCGTCCCTGGCCGTCGCTGCGATACTCTCGGCAATCTTCTCGCATCGCTACTTCACCATGCTATGCTCAACCCTTGGGATAGGAGTCGTATCGTCGTCCGTGACTTAGAACAGGGAAGAGATTCCGACGCGCGTGGCGCTTGTACAGAGAAGGGGAAGGAAACGAATTTGTTGGATGGGATCAGTGCTGGAGGAGAATGTCCGATGATGGAGATCGCTACTCCCGATGATACAGAACCGGGCCAAAATGCGGGGCCGTCGCCCCCAGGTGAAGAAGACCAGCATGGCGACGAAGCTTGCGGTGTCTTCGCCCAGCACTGTACTTATCTCGCGGATCTTCGCCATCACTCGCTTCAAGCTTTGATCTCTTTCGGCCCTCCCGACACCGGGCTCTTGTCAAAATGGAGGATGAAAGACCGGGTACGCTGCTTCGGTTAAGAAAAAAGCTTAATCGGTTTGTATCCTTTCCGTCTCTTGCGTTTCAGATGAAGACTGTATCTGTAGCACTGGTCGTATGTCTGAATATCGGAGTGGATCCACCTGATATAATCAAGGTATCACCATGCGCAAGGATGGAGTGCTGGATAGGTATTTTCTTTCTTCTTTTTCCTTGATGTTTTTGCTGTTCCTTGTGTTTGATGGCTGTTTCTGTTGATAGATCCGTCATCTCTGGCGCCTCAGAAGGCTCTTGATACAATTGGCAAAAATCTGCAATCGCAGTATGCGCTCTGGCAGCCGAGGGTATGGCTATGCATGTTTTGCATTGAAGGGCTAAGTTCCAATGCTTCCATGCAGGCCCGCTACAAGCTAGCGCTGGATCCTACAGCCGACGAGGTGAAGAAGCTGTGCTCACAGTGCCGGAAAAATGCGAAGTCGGACAGGGTCTTGTTTCACTACAACGGGCATGGTGTGCCTAAACCCACTGTCAATGGCGAGCTCTGGTTTTTCAACAAGGTAGGCGTGGCGTAGCTGTTGCTCCTGGCTGGTTGATGGATGAAGCTCTTCTGTCACAGAGCTATACGCAATATATACCGCTCTCGGTTTATGAGCTGGAGTCTTGGCTTGGCGTACCGTCTATCTACGTTCTTGATTGCTCGGGCGCTGGTGTCGTTGTCAATGCATTTATCGAGGTAGAAAGGTTTGTCTTGACTGAATTGTTTTTCCGTGACATTTCTGTATGTATAGAGACCCGATTGGGCACTTGGGAGTTCATCAGTTTCGGCAAAAGACTGCATATTGCTTGCAGCCTGTAGAGCAACTGAAATGCTTCCGCAGAGTTCGGGAATGCCTGCCGACGTGTTCACAGCATGTTTAACGACTCCAATCAAAATGGCGTTGAGATGGTATTGCCTATGATTTCAGTTGGATTGCTTATACGTCTTCCATGCAGGTTTTGTTCGCGGTCTTTACTTGAGTTCGATCCTGAGCTGATTGACAAGATCCCTGGAAGTCAGAACGATCGGAAGACCCTCCTTGGAGAACTAAATTGGATCTTTACGGCAATCACCGATACCATAGCATGGAATGTGCTTCCTCCAGGTGCAAATCTCACTCTATATGTTTTGTTGTGTGTACTGATTTAGAATGTATGCAGACCTGTTTCAACGATTGTTTCGACAGGACCTTTTGGTGGCTAGCCTCTTCCGAAACTTTTTACTGGCAGAACGGATTATGCGATCCGTGAATTGCTCTCCTGCTTGTTACCCATGCTTGCCTTTGACACATCAGCACTCAATGTGGTAAGCAAGCATACTGAATCTTGTGGACTTGAACGCTGACGTTTCTTAACAAGGTTTGCATGGGATATGGCTGCGGAAACCTGTCTTTCGCAACTTCCGTCGTTAGTGAAAGATCCAAATGCTGAATTTCAGGTATTGAGCATTATCCTTGTGAAAAAAGCTGAAAACGTGTCCTGCGCAGCCGAGTCCATTTTTTACGGATCAGTTGACAGCGTTCGAAGTATGGCTTGAGCACGGATCAGCGAGTAAAAGACCACCAGAGCAGCTTCCAATAGTTCTTCAGGCAATTGTCCATGTTGCTTGTCCTAAGCCTTTTTGTGTTTTCAACAGGTTCTTTTAAGTCAATCTCATCGTTTTCGGGCTTTGGTACTTTTAGGAAGGTTCTTGGATATGGGGGCATGGGCTGTGAACCTGGTATGTATATGTTTAATTTCTTTTGTTTGTGTATGAATCCCTTGATTAATTTTATTTTCGTTTTCAGGCTCTTTCGGTTGGCATTTTCCCTTACGTGCTTAAGCTGCTTCTGACAACCGCCACTGAACTCCGGCAAATTTTACTATTTATTTGGGCCAAAATTCTTGCCCATGACAAGGTAATGGCATTACTGAGCAGTAGATTGCATCCTGCTTCTTGAACTGTTTTGCAGTCCTGTCAAGTTGATCTGGTTAAAGATGGTGGGCACAAATATTTTATCAGATTCCTGGACAGTCCAGACGTGTACGCTGAACAACAGGCAATGGCAGCTTTCGTTTTATCAGTTATTATCGATGGACTTCCTCGGGGCCAAATTGAATGCTTTCAATCTGGATTGATCGACATTTGCTTGAGACATATCGTTCCTGCACGTGGAGAACCGTTGCTCATGCAGTGGTTGTGCTTGTGTGTTGGTAAGATCTGGGATGGTTTCGCCAAAGCACAGCTGCTAGCTCTTCATACAAATGCGTCTTCCACGCTAGCACAACTCCTGTCCGAGCCTCAACCAGAGGTATACATTGGAAAACCTGACTTTGTCTGACTTTATAATTTTCACAGGTTCGTGCCGCAGCAGCTTATGCTCTGGGAACGATAATAAAGGCTAAGAGCGTTAACGAAGAGGATTCGGCCCTTGATGACGACGACGAAGAGGCTAGGCTTAGAATGGAACAGGATGTTATGAAGACATTGTTGAAAGTAGTAAACGACGGGAGTCCTCTCGTTCGGGCTGAACTTGCCATTGGTAAGCATTTTCTATCTCTTTTTCTCACTAACATTGCAATTTGTATTTCAGCGTTGGCCAGATTAACTGTCAGACATGACCAGAATCTGCGATTTGCTGCCGCAGCGTACTTAAAGCCTCCGTCGAACCCCGGAATCATGGCTTTGGCAGGATTGAATTCCAACAGAACTCCGACGAGCAGTGTAAATATTTCCGGTCAGTTTTTCTTCTCTGGAAATGCTCGTGGTGCCGCTTCGGCTCCTGCTTCACCGGAAGGCTTCAACTTCGTCGAGAATGAACTTATCAATGGGTTGATGCGGCCAAGAAGACTGCAAATGGAAGAGAGTGGCGTTTACGTTCGGTGCGTGGCAGCTGCTTATTCCCTGGTAAGGGATCCTTGCCCGTGGGTTGCTAAACTCGGCCACGAAGTTTTGAGGAGAATAGGTGTCGAAGCGTACGTCCTGCAGACAGGCAAAACTCTCAAGTCCGGAGCCAAACAAGCCACCAGTGCTTTTCCACGTTCTTCTTCCTGGTTTGACAGCAATATAGGTGAGCAGGGTCACATGTTGTTACTCTTTACTGAGTCTTCGCCGATTTTTCAGGAAGTTTAACAATGCCATTCAGAGGTGCTTCCAGTTCTGCTAGTCCTCCGTCTAATTTGCTTTCGGGAAGTCCAATGAACATGAGACGCGTACCTTCTCTCGAGTTTCCTTCGGAAAGTGATTCCGGACTTGGTTCATCTCAAGTTCCCGCTTCGGACGATTTGAAAGAACTTCCAGAGTCTGTTTTATACAGGTGGAGCTGCGGGCATTTTGCTCGGCCTTTACTCGAGACTTCCCACGACGAGGAAGAAACGGCATTAATTGCCAGAGAAGCAAGGGAAAGGACTGCTTTAGAAGGAGCATCCAAATGCCGACATTCGAGTGAGTTTGAAACAGATTTCATCAGTTTTAATTTGGTTTCTGCAGCTGTCAATGTAGTGACGTACCAAATGGCAACATGGGATATGAATTCTGAGTACGGGACCAAGGCTGTTCTCCTACATCCGTTTCTTCCGCTTGCTTGTACCGCAGATGACAATGAAACTATCAGGTGAGCATTTGTTGGAATTCTGAACTGGCATTTATTTTATGAAAGCAGAATTTGGAGTCACGAAGATGGATCTTTACTAAACGACTTTCACAATCACGAGTCGCATAGTAAGGGTTTTTCTCGGCTTTGCTTAATCAACGAGCTTGATGAGAGCTTGCTACTCGCAGCATCAAGTAGGATGAAATCACCGTGATTTTTTCTCGAACTGAATTGTGCAATTCTCAGGCGACGGAAGCGTTCGAGTATGGAGAGACTACCTTGTGAAAGGTGAACAGCAGCTTGCAACTGCTTGGCAGGCCATACAGGGTCACAGGCCTGGCGCTCGAGGAATTAACGCAGTTGTGGAATGGCAGCAATCGACTGGATATCTGGTATGCACTGCGTCCTTTAAATAGACATTACGATGGTCCTTGCAGTACGCGTCTGGAGATATTTCGTCGATCATGATATGGGACGTTGATGCCGAAACACTCGTGTTAAGGCTGCCTTCTCAACCCGATACAAGTGTTTCTGCGATGGTAAGGCCGTGTCACTAACTTCTTGGCTTAGTTTTTAAGAAGTTCGTGTTCTAGGCTGCCTCGCTGATCCATAATGGCCTTTTTCTGGCGGGTTGTGGAAACGGGTCTTTCATGATGTTTGATGTTCGGAAGCAAGACAAGTAAGCTGTTTTTGGATTATTCCGATTGTGAGTTAACTGTGTCTTGACAGGCAAGTGTTCTCCCAGAAGGCGCATTTCCAGAGAGTCGCGGGCATAGATTTTGTCCAGTCAGGAATAGACACAACCGAGGTCTGGATAATCTGTCGCTCACACTCCTCAAGAATCCGTGACACGGATATCCTTTGCAGGTGGTGTCTGCATCTCAAGCTGGGGACATAAAAATATACGACGTCCGCAAGCTGGACCTCCCCGTCGTGAGTGTTGAGGCTCACAAGGGGCACTTGACGTCGCTGGCAGCGCACCGCTACGCGCCAGTCCTTGCCAGCGGCTCCTCCAAGCAGTCCATCAAAGTTTTCAGCGCGACCAGTGGCGACCAACTTAGCATGATACGCTACCACCAGAGCATCTTTGGGAAGAGTATCGGCCCCGTGAGCTGCTTGTCGTTTCACCCGTACAGCGTTCTCCTAGCTGCTGGTGCTTCCACAGACTCCATCGTTTCCATTTACGCCGAGGACGGTGCTGCCGCTAGTAACTCGTCCACTTCTTGAGGCCAGGCAGGGAGGAAAAGAGCGGCAAATGGCGCTCCTTTCTTTGTACAGAGTCTCTGCTCGCGCGGCCGCTCGCTCCTGCCGCTCCGAGCGTGACTTGTATTATAATTGCGAAGGTATACCAGCTGCTCATTTGATACCTGCTGTTGGTTTTTTCTTTAAATCCTTGACTTACTGAGAGTTTGATTCCACAATAAAACAGGTTTACTACTACTATATGCTCTACTTCTACTCGCTCGCTCTACCTCGGTGGCTGCGGTCTTTAAATAGTCTAAAGTTGACCCAGGCATTTAATACCAGCACCAGCAAACTAGGCTCTTCTTCTGGGAAACTTTGGGAAAGATAAGAAGACCATCTCTCTCTTTCTCTCATCTTAATCTTCAGCGGTCACGAACGACGACGGGACCGAGTCCAGCTCTTGGTCACTTGCTGCTGCTACAAGTATAATGTGACTACGAGGAGACTGTGACTTAAGATTTTGCTCCGGTCAACAGCAAGGTGCAGCATGGGTAGTGCATGACCAGCCAAGGTTGGTGACTGAGAGGAGCATAAGACAAAGACTTAGCCGGGGGTGTTTTGTCATCTCTCTCCTTCCAGAGATGGTATAAATATGCTCCTTCTATCGAGCTGGCCTGGGGGCACAACGAGCAGAGAAGAAGATATCTGATCTTGTGAAGCAAAGTTTTGACAGGGACTTTTTGAAAAGCTCTATGCTGCTCGTGAAGTGATCGGTATCAAGAAGATCTTGTCTCGTGGAAGAAGAAGAAGCCACCTCTCTGAAGAGAAGGGACTCTTTTAAGTTCCCGGCCATTCGAGGAAGAAGAAGGCGGGATGGTAATCTCCAGCAACAGAAATCAGCAGTGAGAGAACTTCGACTTCAGAGTCAGTCTTGTCAAGGGGAACCGAGAAATGGAGCGAGCTGGTTCCGACGGGGCGATTTTCGCGAGCAAGTTTAGTACCGTTCCTGCTGCTGGTGATGGAATTGGAAGGGCGTCAACCGCCAACAGCAATGGTGTTGGTGCTAGCCCCCTTACGAGAACAGTGTGGAGGGCGCTCACAAAGCAATCCAATGTCCAAGACTTCGTTGCAAAACTTACATGGAGGGATTTGAGCGTCAACGTGTTGACGGACAAGGGAGCTTGCCGCACTGTTCTGGATAGTCTCACAGGCTTTGCGGAGCCCGGATCGCTGACCGTAGTCATGGGTCCTTCCGGATGCGGCAAATCAACTCTGCTGGATGCTTTAGCTGGTGAGTGGAAACTTGTTTTGAATTCGATCTCTGTGTCTCACAAAAAAGCTTTTGTTTCGTTCTTTCTCAGGACGACTGGCCAAGAACGCTATTCAAACGGGAGACATTCTTCTCAACGGGCACAAAAGGAAGCTGTCATACGGGATTGCTGTGAGTTTTTTATTGTTTCTAAAGTTTTCTCTTCAATGTGCTAGATTTCTGCTGACAAACAGGCATACGTTACTCAAGATGACACGCTCATTTCTACACTCACCGTGCGAGAGACAATCTTCTACACATCCAGGCTCCGCCTTCCAGACGCAATGCCAAATTCGGAGAAGCAAGCAATTGTTGAGAGGGTGATAATAGAGATGGGACTACAAGACTGTGCGAACACACCGGTTGGAAACTGGCATTTAAGAGGACTGAGTGGTGGCGAGAAGAGGAGGCTGAGTATAGCAGTGGAAATACTCACTCGTCCCAGGCTACTCTTTCTAGACGAGCCGACCAGTGGCCTGGACAGTGCTTCAGCTTTCTTCGTAACAAGGACCCTTCGAAGGCTTGCTAGGGACAAGAGGACCGTGATTTGTTCCGTACATCAGCCCAGCAGCGAAGTTTTCCAGCTTTTTGACAATCTTCTTTTGTTATCAAACGGAAGAACTGTCTACTTTGGTCCGGCTATCAATGCACAGCAAGTACGTAGTAGTCTTTCTCATCTTTTTAGTTTTTTTTTGAATTGGTGCTTCGTGCAGCACTTTGCGAGTGTTGGATTTCCTTGCCCCCCGATGCGCAATCCTTCGGACCATTTTCTTAAAGCCATCAACGCGGATTTCGACAGAGTAAACGAATCGTTGAAGGAGTCCTGCCTCCCACACGAGGTAAGCATGCCTCCATGTCACATTCTCAACCAAATCCTTTCAAAATATTACCCACTCGTGAGTTGTTAACTTTGCCTTTTTCCCGTTCCAGGATGAGGAATCTGCCGATGTGTTTGAAACAACCACCACAGCCGAAGTGATCTCCGCTCTTCTCACAGCCTACGAATCCTCCGAGCAAGCCCAGTCTGTAATGGAACGGGTGGAAATAATGACCTTAGTGGTAAGTGAGTGGCTCACTTATTCCCTGGTATACTCGACTAACAGTTTTATTTTGTTTTATATCGATTGATAGAAAGGAGATTTTCTGGAGTCCAGTGGAAGCCAAGCGAGTTTCTGGATGCAGTGTGCTACTCTCACACGAAGGTCTTTCACCAACATGTCCAGGGACATGGGATATTATTGGCTTCGAGTTCTTGTCTACATACTACTGGCGATCTGCGTTGGAACCATCTTCTACCGGGTTGGAACAAGCTACGACTCTATATTCGTGAGTAAAAAACACACAGTTTGTTTCCTTTTTCTAACGGGGATGGAACAACTTTTGCAGGCTAGAGGCTCGTGTATGGGCTACCTGTGGGGATTCTTGACGTTCATGGCAATCGGAGGCTTCCCATCTTTCGTAGAAGACATGAAGGTCTGTAAAGTTTTAGCTCTTACAGAGTCTCATACTTTTTGGTTGCTCCAGGTGTTCCATCGAGAAAGATTGAATGGCCACTATGGAGTCGTCGCTTTCGTTGTTGGAAACACCCTGTCTTCTATCCCGTTCCTGCTCCTCATGTCGCTAACTTCCGGCGCCATCACTTACTACCTCGTTCAACTCCATCCGGGCTTCACTCACTTCCTCTATTTTGTTCTGGGCTTAGCGACGTGTGTGACGCTAGTGGAGGGGCTGATGATGGCCGTCGCGAGTGTAGTTCCAAATTACCTCATGGGGATCATTGTGGGAGCAGCAGTCCAGGTCAGTCAAACTTTTGTCCCTGCTCATCTTTTATGCGCTTTTGTCCTTCCAGGCCGTTCTCATGCTAACTGGAGGCTTCTTCCGTCTACTAAGCGATTTGCCTAAGCCTGTGTGGCGATACCCAATCTCCTACTTAAGTTTCCACAGCTACGTTCTTCAGGTAAGGAGTTCTTTCCATTTTCCAGGCCCGGTTTCTAAAGTTTCTACTCGTTCTTCCAGGGAATGTATCAGAACGATTTCCTTGGCATCCAATTCGATAGCAAGTACCCGTTCCTCCCCAAGATCAATGGCCGAGACATCCTCATCAACAACGACGTGGATATGAGCCGGACAAAGTGGGACAACCTGGGCGTGCTGGTAGCCATGGTCGTGGGATACAGGCTCCTTTTTTTCGTGATGATCAAGCTCAGCGAGGACGTAGTTCCACACCTCCGAGCCTTGCGCGCCAAGCACAACGCGAAGAAGGCCACTGCTATAAACAGCCAGCCGGATCCATCCTTCTCGCATGCGTGAAAAAAGCTTTTGTTTCATTGACCAATCTTCTCAAGGGAAAAAATTATTTGGAGGACGATACAAGTGATACATAATTCGTGTGCGTAACAATAAAAAATAAAAAGGCTTAAAACAATGGAAATTCAAATGACTTGCTTAATCGTGAGATCCCAGTTCCACAATATGCCCCAATTGGATTAATCTTTGCTTGAAGCATCTTTGCCAATTATTGTTTTTGCATACTTTTGCATCTAAGTGCTGGTAGCCATTAATATTGAGGGGTTATTGGAAAGTAGAAGCTAAAGTACAAGTTTTAATTTGTCACTTTTCTTGACCCATTATTCATTTATTCATATGGTCTCATGCTTCATAGAGATCCTGTCTCCAAGACCCATCTTGTGGTGGTGGTAGCAAAAACAGAGCCTACAACCACTGGCTCCCCTCGCTCGCCTGGACCTGGAAAGATTTAGAAATGCTGTTTTTGCAATTGTCCCACCGATGTTGTCCATCTTGATCTTCCATGCTCCATCCTGGTATGAAAATCTTTGCACTCTTATTGAACACCTTCCTTTTCCTTTCTCCCTACTATTCTTATTGACTAGGCTAAAAGTATCTTAGACCTTTATTACCAACGAATAAAGACTATCCTAAAATATTTACAGGTTTTTTTAAGAAAATAAAAGTACTATGACTTAGAGTGCCAAGCAAAACAAAGCTATTCGGAAGAAGGTGGCGTAGCTGGATGCTTGTGAGACAAATCCTTGGCAGACTCCCACTTTTGAGGAAAGAGGCGGTGGACGAGCCTAGGTTCCGGCGGTGCCTCCGCTTGACGACGTTCCCGACTGTTTATGCGCCGTAACTGGTCACAGGCTGGACGATGAGAATTCCTCCAAGGGCCGTCCTATTGGAGCAGCATCATGGTGATGGTGATATCCACACCTTCACTCGTGGCCAAGCGGAATGGTGTCGCTTCAGTGGAGGGTTGGCCTGTGAACCATGGCCCGTGCTCATAGAAAACAAGTTGGCTTCTTTGTCTTCCTTCCATACCCACTTGATCCAGTTTGATGTCGCAACCAACAGTTTGCATATACAAATCTACGTCTCAATGTCAAGGCCGGTGAGGCCGTCTGCCTTGCTAGTTGGAGGGGAAGCCTCTCAACGTGGAACTCAAGTGTAAGTTTGTAATTGAGGAGATTTCTGTGGAAACTGGTGAGATGGTAGTGCATATGACCACTTATTCAGTACCTCCTAGACCGGATTTATGTCTCTCCTTCCGTGGTCATGCTGGTAACTATTTGAATTCTGAAGGACGTGGAAGTATCCTAGGTTCAATAAGTCATTCTGGTATGATCTAGATGCAGGTACTTGGACTGAAACAAATACAAGCCTTCCTTGGATGTGTACTGATATAAAATACCAAATATAATTTCTATGTCAACCACGTAAAAGGTTTGTAATCATTAATTTTGCTGCATATTAAAGAAAAAATCGGTCAACTTGCGCGAGGTCGAGATCTTGGCCAACAATCCCTTCAAGAAAGGTAGTCTAGTCCCTCGAGCTCGTTGATATATTTTTGCGTTATCTGTTTTGACGTTGTTCGTCATCCAATGGGTTCCCGAAGCTGCACCAGGAACAAAACACGAAGTGAGGCTTTCTGGCAAGCTTTTCAAAAGCAAGTGGAGAAATATTTCTTTCACACCTTGTGTAGGTGCAGGATCCCCTCGAGGATTCTAAGGAGGTGATCATTGACGCGGTTCCTCTCCACTGCTGGGATTGCTGTCAGTTCGAGTGCAAAGGTACTTGCGGTTTGGTTGTCTTTCCTTTGAGACAATGCGCAGGCGACAAGCTTGTTTTCAACTGGATTAGCTCCTCCTGGAAAACTTTGTAAATCTTATCCGACTAAAACGAGTAATGTGTACCTTAGAGTTCCATTTTTAATCTTCCAGAAAATCAGTTGGTAGCAATGGAAGCTTGGAAACGCTCGTTCCACCTTGAACTCGGCCCTGAGATGATTCTTCCTTTGTATTGTTAATGCTCGAGGATTGCCGAGAACCTTGCTGTAGAAGTGGCAGGATTCTCAGCCGTACTTTGGGCTCAATGCCTGAAGTTTCCGATGCGAGCTGGTAGCTCTCGGCTAGACGTATCTGGAGTGCTGTGATTCCTGCGGACCTTGGAAGTAGCTCCACCGCTTGGCCTTTAGCAATGACAATTTGCTCAATTGCAAGCCTCGCTTCCTGTGTAAAATAGCAATCATGATTATTTGTAAACAGCAGTTATTCCAGAATTCGTACCTCTAGAGCGTCGATCTCATCCTCAACTTTAGATTTCCTGGTTGATGACGAAGTTCCTCTAAGCATTTCCATTTCCAGGACTGCTCTTGTTGCTCGGATCATTTGAGCTAGAGTGTTTGCCTACGAGATAAAAGCTGAAGTACATAAAAGATGCACATTTTAGTAGAGTTCACCTTGATTGCAAAGACTGGAAGTTGTCGAAACTTTGCAATGTTTCGCACCCATACATTCTCTCGCAGCTTTGACCGTAGCGTTAACACGGCGTCTGCTGCACCTATGTCAGAAGCAACACCGATTGTTTCTTCCAGTTCGAGAACCTCAATGGCCTGCTTGAGGAACTCCTCCGAAATCTGGAACAAAACATATAATGTTAAGCGAAAAACGTAATGTTCAGGTGTAGACAAACCTGGTATGGATACAAGGAAAAGAGTTTGCTCTCACTTCCATTGTCTTGGAGTTTCTTAAAGACATCTTTTTCCTCATTCTCGATTTGATTCAATACCGGCAGTTCTTCTGGAGCAGTCCCTTCTTTGTCCTTCATGTTTCGAATTTCTATAGAAGGGGATCGTCCTGTATAATAGTATTACGTATTAGCTACCCTGAAGAGATTACAAAGATTATATTTACCAGCGAGAAGAGCGTCTATTGTTGCCGTCAAACTGTGATGTATTCTCCACTCAGTTCGAGAAGCCATTTCAATCGCAGTGCTAAAAGCGGGAGGTCCCTTCCTTTCCAAAACACTCTTTTGGACTCCCCTCCTGCGAGCTTCATCGTCACCCAGCGTCACACTCTATAACAAAACAAGATCCTCGCGTCATGGGAGCCATGCAATGCCACTTTGACAGTACCTGAATGCCACCAACAAGAATTTCCAGCGAAGGATTCTTTATCAGATTCTCGACGCTGGTTCCATGAGCAGTAGCAACCAGCTGCACGCCTCGCTGAGCAATTGTCACCGCTGCTGCAGCCTCAAGCTCGGTACCGATCTCGTCAATCACGATCGTCTCCGGCATATGATTCTCCACAGCCTCAATCATTATCTACGCAAAACCTTCTTGTGCTCTAGAAACAAACAATAATAAAGGAGCCAAGACTCACCTTGTGCTGGAGACCAACGTTGGTGACTTGCATTCTTCTGGCACGGCCGATTCCCGGGTGTGGGATATCTCCATCGCCAGCAATCTCATTCGAGGTGTCCACAATCACAACTCGACGATCGTAATCGTCGGCAAGCATCCGGGCCACCTCCCTGACTAGTGACGAAAGAGAAAGAGGGAAAAATCAAACCATACATGCAAGGAAGAAAGAAAGAACAAATACCTGATGGCCGTTGTCTTGCCCACGCCAGGAGGTCCCATTAGCAGCAAAGAAGCTCCACTGCTCACGAGATCTCGAGCCATCTCGGCGCTTCCAGTCACGGCACGCCCCACTCTACAAGTGAGACCAACGATCCGGCCTCCGCGATTGCGAATCGCGCTAATCCGGTGGAGCGTCCGGTCGATTCCAGCGCGGTTATCATCCACGAAATCCCCGACCTAGAGAAACATTTCAATCAATCACAAGACCTCTTGCTTCTTTGATCGATCGCGTACCATGCAAATCGCGTCCTCCAGGTCGGCGATTGTCACCGGCTCCTGCGACATGGACCAGTCCCCGCTCGGGAAGCGAGCGATCGGTCGGCGGCCAAGATCGAGAACAATCTCGACAATCTCCTCCAGCTGCGGGTGATTCTGGACGCTACGCTCTAATCTCTCGGGAAGAACGCTGAGAAGCTGCTGGAGCTCGCAGCGCCTGGAAAACATAGCATGGGCATTGGCGGCAATGGCTGCATTGGCACAAGAGACATAGCCCCCAAACGAGAGACACACAGCAGCCATAGCCAAATCCCCTGTTTTTAGGGTTCTTGGCTAAATTTAGGGCACTAGATGAAAGCGTATCACCTTTAAGGGTGAAATTTAAGGAATCATGTACAACCCTAAATTATGTTAAGTCACTAGATGACCTTTAAGGGTGACATTTAATTTAAGGGTGAAATTTAAGGAATCATGTACAACCCTAAATTATGTTAAGTCACTAGATGACCTTTAAGGGTGAAATTTAAGGAATCATGCCAAGATTTCGTGGGGTGACGATCACAGCGCAGGCACTTGAAGAGGAATTATATTTGGAGCTCGACTGGAGACCCCCTTCGAACTCGGGTTTCCCGACTGGGTCTTATGCCTTCCGGACGGGGCTTGTTTGTCACGTTTATGGATACAAATGCTATCTATATCCCACGGGGAAGCATGAAGATGAATTATACACGCCAATACATATTTTAGGATCTAGCGATGTCTTCAGCAAGACTCCATCGCTCCGATTCGACGTTACAGAGAACGAAAACCTGTTCAAGCATGGGAGGATGCATTCCAAGCTTTCCAGAGGCATGAGAGTGGAGGAACTGCTGGGATTTGCGAAGTATAAGCTGATTGGTTGCTAGGAACAGCACAGTGTAAGTACGAGTCTGACCTTTCCTGCTTGACAAGCTCGGACAGGACATCTAAAGCGGGACTTGTCATCGTGCATAAGACGTGCCGCTGCCTTATAGGGGGCTTGCTGGGGGAACGATTTTTTGGACGACGTGGGTGACTACCTGCAGCACCTGCTTGGAGACCGATGGTATCCTAGGACTGCATTCCTCGTAAGTTTCGCCATTTCAATCACTTCGTTCCGTGGGCAAAGGGTGTCAAGCTTTCCACGCAGAAACTGTGAAACTTTGGGTTCATGGAGCTGCATTAGTGTATGTGCCAGAGGAGATCGCAAGTGGGTGGAGTTTGACGAAAATCCTTGGTCGTGAAGGGCAGAATTTTGATGACTAAGTTGCGTTGATTATGAATCTGAAATACACTTATCCGTTCCTGAAAAGTGATGTTATCCAGAGCCTAACCGCTTGCTAACTATTTGCAGATCCTGACGTTCTCAATGCGGAGGACTTTGGTCAGGCAGAGAATGTACTGTTCAGAGAATGTATGTCGTTTGTGCTTGTGATACAATATAATGTGAATTCAATAATCCTTATTACAAGTTTAAAATTCTTAAACCATCCTTTTTAACTTGAGCCCTTTATCTCATTATTTATTATCAATGCTGCTGAGAAAGCACGATGTGCTGAGATCCCAAGCCCAAATAATAATAATAATAATAATAGCTATTTCAAGTCACGAGGACCCACAAAAGGCATCAAACCATCCTATCTACTGTTGGTGTGGAGTGCAAGTTCAAAGATAGCAAGCACCTCATTGTGGAGGTGTGGTGGCAGTGAGGTACTCACAAAGTGGCTGGTGTTGCCATTGCTAAAGGAAGAGAGGGAGGGGCAGCTCAAAATTGAGGAGCAGTTCTTTGTTGTAAAGCATTTAAGAAGCAGGAATGGGACAAAGTCCAATGGCAAGTGTTGTGATATCAACGTTGTGTTTCCTGGACAAGGATCTCAATGTCATGCCTCCACATCATGTCTTAATCCACCTGTAGCATTTGTAGTGTGGAACGTCCATCTTGTACTGCCGAGGATGACATGACGGTTCATTATATCAAGGACTAGCAGCTTATGTAAATCTCTTCGTCTCATGCTTCTTACCAGAAGACCATGTAAACAGCATATGAATGAGAAGTTGTTGGCATTTCTAAGTTCATGCTCAAGTCCACATTGATCAAGATGGAGCATAAACTGCTTATCAATGTCCATTATAAGATTACAAAAGCAGGTTCCTGAATTTTTATTATTATTAGTACATGTTAAGATCATTAGTGCCCAGGAAATTGCACATCTTGCACATTGCATATAAATAGGCATGCTGTCTTTCGTCGAACAGGAGCACGACATTGCAATCACACAAATATGAGATATCAAAATAAAAGACTATATCATGTTGCCCTTAAATAGTTGCCAGAGTGGAACGCTCTTGTGAACGTTTTATGTTGCAATCTTTTAAGCTTCCTTCGCTGAACCACAATTGAATCAAATTTCCAAGTCAGAAAAGAGCAGCATTGTGCAGTACCTGATGAAAAAAGTTGAAGTTTTCTTCCTTGGCACTCTAAGCTTTTGCATGCTTCGAGAACTTTGTTGTACTCTTGGCCAGAACGGGCGGCTAATGCCTGGCTATCAAAATGAAAAAGCAGAATAAAAATCAGTGGAAGAATTTTGGACCTGTGAACAAAAAGTGGCTCAGTTTTTGTGTTGTTTCAACTCTATAATCACTATCACATTTCTTATCCTCTACCAAAATCCAGCCCATCACCCTACAAAGAATATATGTCCACGATGACCATAAGAAAAAATAGAGAGAAGAAACCACTTTCATAAGCAATGAACTTGAAATATGAATATGATTTGGAATTCTTGGCTGGCTTCAGAATTGTGAGTGTCATATAATTGTCATAGAAATATCTGACAATTTGAGGATTTGCTTAATTTTTAAAATTCACTTAAACTTGTCTGTGCTAATACTTAGGTGATAATAGATTAAGCTAAAAGTCAATATTTGTCAACAGTCTTTGAAGACTTTCTTTGATAGTTATTGACTTTGACTTTCATTAGACACACTTCTTTACAGTGTTCAAATCCACCTACCAAGCCTGAAGATCAGTACCAAGCCTCACCACAATCTTATATTGCATCACAGAGTTATCTTTATCAAAATATTATTCTTTAAGTCCAAGAGATTTATGCAAATTTAATTAATATTATAATTGAATATAATAATAAATTCAAGCATAGCAAATTATTTTTGGATTCTAATCATCCACAATTGAAATAACTGTGCTTTGCATGCAATCTATTCTTTTCTCTTCTTGGTTTTCTTGTGATAACTTCTACTTACTATAGCTTACTTAGCTTGTGTAAAGCACTTCTTAAAAATAAGAAAAGGTTAGGAAAGAGCAAAAGGTAAAAAAAGAATTAAATAGTAGATTAAAGGACTGATACTTACCTGTGAAATCTCTAATTTATCTCTAAATTTACTTTCATAATAATTAAATTCTTCATCACAATCTAGAATCCATTCAAATTATAAACATCATCTTCCCATAAATTTAATCCTCAAACATTCTCCAAGAATTAGATTGCATTATTTATAGCTTGCCAATTGACGTTATAATTATGCTCTACATCAATAGGAAATTGTAGAACATTGAGAATAAGACACCAAAAGAAAGAACAAACCTAAGTATAATAATAACTAGAATTCTAGATCTTGCAAAAAACCAATACAAATCTAGATTTAAAAGAGAATGAAGAAATAAGAATGAAAAGCATAATCTTGAACACTAGAGCAAAGCATTGCCAAAAAGCTTTGCAGTTCAAGGATAAATTATATAGGAATAAATATATTAATTAAGGTTTATACCCTTACTTATATACAAGAATGGATAGACTGGATTTAGTTTTAAATAAACAATCTATATGTTATAGTACTATAATTAGTGTATTACCTAGCCAAAGTAATACATGTATATTTGCAAAAGCTTCATTAAGTAAAGTTTGAGTCAATCGAGAAATATACAACTCAATTTAATAAGCATTATGGATTATTAGGCACTAGGTCAAGATAATAGGATAAAGAAAGGGCTCTACAATCAAGTGATCACCCCTTTAGCCAGTTGGCTTAGGGTGTAAGGGATAGGATCCTAACAATGGTATCAAAGAAACATTGTAAAGATTTAGTGTCTAAGGATTAAATCAAAATTGTTTGCTAACTATTTATTTTAGATGACTCTGTGTGTGTGTGTGTTTTATAAATGTAAAGGAATATCCTATAATATAATTTCCTTAAAAGCTTTATGTAATGCTTATTAATGCAAGTGTGTCTATAACAAATGCTTTAAACTAGTCTTCGGTGGCTAGAAATATTATCTAATTTCTATTATGATTACTCTAATTCTTTACCCAAAAGCTGTGTGTATAGGGAGTACTCTCCAAAAACTATATTGTAAGCATCAAGTAAGGAATTGGAAAGTAAAGGCTAAAATCTAGATGATTTTTTTGATCTTAGTTGAATGAGAAGTGAGAGAAAGCTAAAACTTTAATTATTGATTTTATTTTATATTTTATATTTTATAGTAAATTAACCACAGAATGGAATTTAACCCTTGGATACATGTGTCAAGGACAATAGAATAAGACCCAAGTTTCAAGGCCTTGTGTTACTAAATAAAGGGACAGAAAGCATATAGCTTAAAAAGTGAAGGGTTAGGAGTCTAGAGTAATATTAGAACAGTTTTAAAACATTCAATATCCCAATGCTAAAATTAGCATATAAAATGAAGTTTAATAAAGTTTGATACTATTTTAGCATACCAATGACTTATCATGAGTTATACCACTTATAACTCCCCCCTCTTCCCAACACACAAGAAACCCCAAGACTCCTCTATATATAGTTAAATCATCTACATTTATAAAATATATTTATAGAACTATGTTAATTATTATCTATAGATGGTCCTACTATATATAATATAAATTTTCTTTTTTAATTATTATGCAGAAATTGTTCTTGAAAGCTATACTTATACAATATATATATATATATATAAAATATAATTTATATAATTTATATAATTAATTTTATTTGTATTGAAAGAAAACGATGTGTACCTAGCTAAAGCTCATATGCTACTGCCAAATGCAGTTGTATGAAAAAAGGCATTAGTCTTCATATCCAATGAATCTATCTATATTGGCTTCTAATTTTTTCAGACCAATCAATTTGCATTCTCAATTGCTAAGGGGGCACCACTCATTTTAATGGAGCTGTGGTGTTAAAGTGTTGACAAATGAGCAAAAGCTTCTTTGAGGAGCTAAAGTTGAGTTGTAAGTGTTGATCATCATAAGCCTTAAGACAAGAAAATAATTAAT